TATTTACAGAGTACAAAGATGTATGACAGCTTATAATTAGTTTACAGAATATAAAATTTTATAGAATACGGAACTTCATTTAAACGCAAGAGTGCTCTTACTGTTTTTGTTTATTCATGTATTACCATAGGTGACATACCCGATGCGTATTAGAGTTATCTCAGTATACGAATTTTATAATTTTTTGTTTGGCCAATCTGGCCACGCTGGTTGCCTCCGAAGAACGTAAATTATAAATTACGTTCTTCATTGACATTTCAAGAACATCAATTGCAGCTAAATTAAGAGTTTCCTGAATGAACACGAGGCGAACGGTGAGTAGTGTGTTTTTTGCAATATGTAGTATTTTTATTAATAGTTTTTCACCTTGTTCTTTCGTTCAGTCTATTTAGCCGGTTCTCAGCTGTAGGAACGGGAGTTGCTTCACGACACGAAATTCCTGTGACGGCGAAATTGCAAGCGTTTACGCTGTTTGCAAAAATCAATCCAGCATGCATATTCTCGTAGAGTTGGTTAATTCAGCGCGTTTGTTTAATAAAAGTCTAGAGCGCATAAACTATTGGCACATTGTTCGGTTCGACATCGAATCAATGGTGCCTGCGCTCCAAGAATGCGATTCATGATGCTCGACTCTCAACAGCGAGTGTGGCAGCAGTCGCGATGACCATTAAAGGCGGTAGTGGTGCATTACGCTTGAAAATTCCTTCAGATTTTCGTGAGGTCGGTGATATTGCGGTTGCTTTTATGACAATAGCCCCAATGAGAAATTCGTCGGAATCACGAAAGGTACTAATGGCAAGAGATGAGCCTCGGTGCATGAACCGATTGGTTGCTGATGACTTACGTCCGCCTAAGGGCCTGGTACACTATCGGCGTGATATCAGCGTCCGAGTTGAGGGTAACTATCACCATGCATGATGTCTATACATAGCTTCTATTTACAATTTTGTAGTAGTTTTGGGTCCTTGACGAACTCCTGCGAGTGCAATGAATTTAAAGTACCAGCGCTTCCATTATCCTCGCAAACACAGTTCCTCGCAAGACAAGTACCGACATGAGATCTCGTATGAACCTGGAATGTTCCTGCAGCCTACTATGCCACAGTTAGTCGAGGTATGCTCCCGGTTAAAGGATTATTAGGAGCCCAGAATCAGTAAAGGGGTACGTGATATTTATAGTTTTAATAACCTACATATACATGTACATACATGTAAAGTTATATGGTTATATGGTGTACCCTACCCGAACAGACTGAGTACATTACCGCAGATGAATTCAAAAATTAAAAGCTGCTCCTCTTATTCGTAAAAAATATAATTTAAGTTCTTTATTCAAGGTTCATATCAAATTTTGTTTATTGGCAAACGCTCGGCCAACTTAGAATTATAATTACAATTCATTTGCGCAAAACTGTTCTGGTAGGGTAAGTTTGTTGTCAGCCACACATCGACAAGAATCGTTATTCTGCCTAGTTTAGGTGCTCAACCACAGCTGTCCATGGATATACAGGCCGATGAATTAAGCATTTCCTGTGTATAAATTTGAACTTCCGACATTGAACGCGATCCAAGGGATAGTAGGCAACATTTCTACCTGTTCAGCCGCTCAGGTCAACGTTACATATTTTTTAATTCGGTCATGAAATTCATTCACCTATTGGCATCGCAGAGCTGTTTGTGTTACGCGCAAGTATTAGCTCTGCCTGCTTAAGCTTCGAATCCAGCTCTCAAGAAAAATTTAATTAAAATTTGAATTTAATTTTAATAATTAAAAAACTAAATTTTCAAGCAACAGAAACAATAAGGAGTATTCCTTGTCATTTTTTTCTTGAGAGCTGCAAACTGATTTAAGCAATTTTGATAGCAGAAAACTTCTTTTCCAGTTATCGATTTATATGTATTTTATATGTACTGCTGAATATTTATTGGTCTTATTTGCTTAGATCTTACGATGGTCGGTTCTATATACCAGATCGCCCCGGGTGAGCTCGGGCTAAGAACCATCACCTTGGTATACAAGTTTTTATTTAAAAGCTCACCTCGGGGATGCATAACCTTAAGACTTCTCATTATTTAGCTTGGGGTTGATTTCGTTTATAGCTAGTTGCTATGAAATTACAGTCTCTTTTATTGGTTTTTTTGGTAACAGCTTAAAACTCGATGATGCGAACGATTCGAATTGAGAAAAAAAACTCCTTAAATGCTGAACTATTTCAACATTCAAAGCCTTTGATGAAGCTAATATTTTATATATGTATAAGAATTATAATAGATGAGAATATTTACTAACTTGATTGTCGAGTCGAGACTGTTGCTATAATTGTGTGAGAAACATACATTGGTATAAATGGAGTCTCACAATTACGTGGATATTGTTAAGCACGCATGTAGTCCATATGCGTTTTCAACAAAAGTTTACTAGAGCAGTTTCTAATCTCTATTTTCAATAAATTTCCGCTTGAGACAACTAAGCATTTGTACATTTATTTTGAATGAAGTGGAATGAAACATGTGATGTTTGCGAGCTTCAGTCGTGGAATACTCTAGGTGCCTATGAAGTGGAATACCTAGTTGCTTTCATGTTGAAGCCGCAAATACAGAGAATTTATTTACGAAGACTCTGTTAGTTCCTCGTTTGGTTCACTGCAGGGTGGTAGTAGGACCAATTTTACCAGTGGTCTGGTTACCTGGCCTCTTTCGGTCATGATGTCCACCACTCGTACCCGAGTGTCCGAACCTGGGTATAATTTTACGACTCTTCCGAGTCTCCATTCATTCGGTGGTAGGTTGTCTTCCTTAATTATGACGAGGTCTCCGATTTTGATGTTGGCTTGAGGATATCTCCATTTGTTGCGCTTCTGGAGTTCAGATAGGTATTCTGATTTCCATCGGTTACAAAACGTGTGATGTAAAGCCTTCAATCTCTGCCAACGATTTACAATCGTAGCCGCATTTTCGTTAGCATCAATTTCTGGTGGAGCTAATAGGTGTCCACCAACCAAAAAATGGCCTGGAGTAAGTGGCTCCAAGTCTGATGGTTGGTTCGATGTGGGGCTTAATGGTCGAGAGTTCAGACAGGATTCAATTCGGCATAGAAGAGTCGTAAACTCTTCAAACGTATATTTATGGTTTGATGCGATTTTCGTAAAGTGGTTTTTAAAACTTTTCACTCCCGCCTCCCATAGTCCGCCCATGTGAAGAGCTGAAGCGGGAATGAAGTGCCACGAAAGCATTTGGTGGGCATATTTGGTTAAAGTTCTATCTCGTGACTCAGTCAAAAAAGATTTTATTTCCGCTCTGAGAGCTCTAGAGGCTCCGACAAAGTTTCCGCCTGGCAAATGCTGGATGGATCGCCTTAGTTGCGAAACAGACGAATAGGCAGAGATATCCTTTGGACATACGACAGCCTCGTCCACTGTAGCTCTTTATGTCAAAAGGTCCTGCAAAGTCGACTCCTGAGTTTGTAAACGGTCGTGAAAATGTAGTTCTTTCTATGGGAAGAATTCCCATTAGCTGTGTTTGCGCACGCTTTCGATAGATCGTACAGACCTTGCAATTATGAATTGTGGACCTAATCATGTTCTTGACCCTAGGTATCCAGTACTGTGTTCGGATCAGGCGCAGCATGAGCTGATTCTCGCCATGCAGCGAGACCTTGTGGACGAACTGGACTATCAGACGAGACAGGTGGCAGTTATATGGCAGGATAACTGGGTGACGCTCGTTATAGGCGAGATCACTAGATGCTCCTAGGCGGCCACCTGTCCTCATTATACCGTCTTTATCGATAAAAGGGTTAAGGGGTAGTACTTCACTCTTTGAACCTATTAATTTTTGAGATTTTAGTGCTGAATACTCCTCCCAATAATGCTTTTTCTGGCAGATGGTTATCAAGCGGTTTATCGTTGCTTTAATTTCATCAGCTGAAATTGAACAAGATTTCGCCTGAAATGAAGCTCTAGTTTTTGGGTGAGTTCTTTGAGAGAATCTCATTACATAAGATAAAACTCTCAAAGCTCTCGAGAAATCAGAAAACCTTTCAATAATATCATCGTTGATATCTAACATTGTTGTTGCGTGTACCTGCACCCTTTTCTCTTCTATCACTGTATTATAGTCGTTTTTCTGAGTGGGCCATTTTGTGGTATCTTCTTGGAACTAAGAAGGACCCTCCCACCACAGGGAATTGTCTACTAAATCTTGGGCTGCAAGACCTCACTGGCTAAGTCCGACGGATTTGACGTCGAGTCTACATGACGCCAATTTTCGTTTCCGATCTTTTCAATTATTTTTGTTACTCGATGGGCAACAAATGTCGACCAAGAGCACGGAGGTTTCCGTATCCAGGCGAGGACAATGGTAGAATCCGTCTACATTTGAGTCGTGAGATGAGCTATGTTCAGATTATTGGTAATCGATTCCAATATTTCTGCTAGTAAAACCGCTCCACAGAGTTCTAATCGTGGCAAAGAAATCGTCTTGACTGGAGCTACTTTAGTTTTAGCTAGTAGTAGATTTGTGAGGACTCTGCCATCCATTTCGACGCGAAGATAGACGCAGGCAGCATACGCCTTTTCTGAGGCGTCGCAAAACCCGTGAATTTCAACTTCGGCTGTCGGTGAAAAGTATACCCAACGGGGGATACGAATCTCTTCTATGTGGCTATAGCTTTTCTTGAAGTTTTGCCAGCGATCTAGGGTTGTGGATGATACTGTTTCGTCCCACCCTGTTCCTTCTAACCAAATATTTTGCATCAACATTTTTGCGGTAATTACAAACGGTGCAAGCCACCCTAATGGATCGAATAATTTGGCAATAGCCGATAGTATTGCTCGTTTTGTATAGCTAACCTGATTCTCAATTGGCTTGGCCGTAAAATAAAAATGATCCGAATGGGCGTTCCACCTAATCCCTAGAGCTTTGACTGTGCTGGTATCTTCGAAATCCAAGAAATCTTCTTTCAGCAGATAAGATTTCGGTATACCATGTAATATTTCGCTGCAGTTGGCAGTCCATTTCCTCAAAGGGAACCCGGCAGTATGCAAAATTCTTGTGATTTCGTCCTTTGCCTTGACAGCAGATTCGATAGTGTGTCCGCCTGCTAAAACATCATCAACATACATGAATTTTCTTAAGATATCCGACGCAATGGGGTGTGAGTCTTCTACGTCGTCAGCTAATTGGAGCAGTATTCTAATCGCGAGGTAAGGTGCGCAATTGACACCGAAAGTCACAGTATTTAGCTCATAAAGACCAATTGGTTCGGTTGAGCTTGTTCGGAAAATTATACGCTGATACTTGGTTTGGTCAGAATTTAGTAAAATTTGGCGATACATCTTTTCGATGTCGCTATTAAAAACATACTTAAATAACCTCCACCGAAGTATTAAAGTTGTTAAATCATTTTGAAGGACTGGACCAGGATGGATCACGTCATTAAGACTCACCCCATTCGCAGTCGGACATGATGCGTTGAAAACCACCCGTACTTTGGTGGTGGTGATCTCTTCTTTCCGGACAGCATGATGAGGTAGAAAATAATTCTCACATTCATAACTCGGAATATGGTCGGAAATTCGCGTCATATGTCCTAAAATTTCGTACTCAGATAATACTCTTTTATATTCAGTTTGTAAGGGTGGGTCTTTTGCTAGACGCGTTTCATTTCGAAAAAATTGATAGCAGGCGATTTTTAGTGAAGGTCCTAACTGGACGCTTTTAGGGAAGTCCTGCTTAAATGGCAACGAAACTATGTATTTTCCCTCACTATTCCGCTTTGTCGTGCTTTTATAAAGTTCCTCACAGTAAACTTCCTCTTCGTTGTAGGTTTTGCTCTTTGAGATATCTTCTAACTCCCAGAACGAGGCTAGACGCTTGTCTAGGGTAACCTCGTTAAAAAATGATACACATTTATTGGCGGTAGAAATTGTTTCAGCACTGTGGTATCTATGTGGATTAAAGGGTCTATCGGTGACCGCAACTGGATGAAACACGCTTCTTTAACTTCGGCTGAAACAGTGTTGTTAATGCCTGACACTTGGGCATGCAATCTTTTTGATGGTAAACGAATCCTACGTTTAAGTCTGTCAGTTATAAACGAGCACTCCGAACCGGAATCTATCAGGGCGCGGGCCGAAAAATTGGTATTATTGAA